ATCTCTAATCTGTCTCTTCGTAAACGAAAGATTATAACATTTTTGTCGCTTGATAGCAATTTAGAAATTTTATCCGATTATACAGCTAACAGTCGTATAGTTTATTTTCTGTAACGTTCGCGGCAAACCTTCTGTATTACGTAGTAAATTACTCCTGTCAGCAGTGTTTCTTTTTAAATGTGTTAGTGCAATTCCGCGCAGTTGTCTGATACCGATACACAACAATGACAGCTATAATTTCTGTGATGAAATTATTTCTGTCATAGACATCGCTTATCTTGTTCTATAACTTTATTTTACAATTACTTTAAATATTAATAATTGTAACATAAATTATATATTTATATATATATATATATAAAATTTGTTATAAATTGAAACAATATGTATACATATAAGCTCTCTCTTTCATATAAAAAATCATTTCTTTAATCTTAAATTTGTAAGAAATAAAATTTACATACGTCGATTTGTTTAGATTTTAGACAATGCAAAATGCAAAAATCATGAACCTCATGAATATGTCGATACTTTTTTTTTTTTTGTTAAACCTTCTTTTTATTTTTCTGTATATAATAACAAACTCATCTCTACACTTGGGCCGGCATTCATAATCGGTTCTTATTTTAATATCGTCTTAAATAATGTCTTATAGATGCTAATACAGCCCTCTCTCTGATTGGCTTATGACATTTTAAGACTGTATACTTAAGTCAAGCTCAAGTATAAGAATCGACTATGGATACCAGCCTTGAGATGTGGGTTCTGACTTCTGAGTTCTCAGTTAATGCGGATTCTCTACCTACGTGATCGGTATCACGTCCGCATCTTCATTATACAATATAGGTAGATTTATTATGTGAGGGTTTTTAACGGTATCCAATAAACATCAAATATAACTGTCATATGTAAATGGATATAAAAAAAATACATATATATTTTATGTTAAATATAGTTATATTGTTATATACATCTCGTATACCTATATCTATTTTGCTGGGGTATAATACAACACGTTATACGTTGTGAAAGAGAGAGAGGCCCAAGGGACGAATGCCAATTATCCGCATTCAATCTCGCTTTCGTTATTTTGCCTTCTGTAGCGGCGAATAATTTTGTTCAATTTGCCCCGAGCGATATTGATGTCGACACACATTGCACGCACACACACGCAATGAGCTTATTCGGAATACCAAGCAATTATTATACTCGAAAAGTTGAAATTCGCATAAATATTTCGATATTTCGTTAATTAAGTGGTTTGTACATAAATCTCCCATCTTTATTTATTTATTCATTTGTATTTTTTTTCTTGCTAATTTTAAATTCAGCACAATGCGTGTTTCTTATACGAACGGCTTTCGCGTGCAGCATGCCACTCCTAAAAATGGATCGCGAGCCACACCCGATCAACTTTTGTTCAGGATACAAAGGCAAGTATCCAAAAAGAAGTGTTTGGAAAAAAAGAAAAAATATATCCCTTCAAAAGTCTGATATCAGCAATATTATTCGATCATGCCTTGTCTGGACGTTTCCAATAAAACGAGATGATTGGCCGTGAGAAATGAACTTTTGCTCCGTTCTTTGTAGAGTCGGAATGGAAGTTCAGAAAATAACTATAAATGAACTTCAGCCAGAACGTTCAACTTCGTCACGTACGCAATGTTGTTCAGGAAAACCGGCTCTAGTGTACGTTAATGTGTATACATTATATGCAGGTCGTTTTATTTCTTTTTCTTCTTCTCTTCCTTCTTTCGATCCTAACTTCTTATATGGATTTTCTTATTGCAACACATCATCAGTGCTTTTTCTTTTCTTCCATTTCCTGTTCTCATCTCTGAAAACGGAAGTAGATTTGTTGTTTGTTTACGTTGCGTGTCATGTTATAGTTGCAATATAAACACCTCTGGTTCATTGCATTCTTGACTGTCAACATTTTGATGCAATGATATGTAAAAAGGTATCATATCATATATACACAAAAAGAATGAAAGGTTTTATTTAATTATGAAAAAATTTAACTCTAGAAAATAATTTTTATTGAATTTCACAGACAAGGCTTCCTTGTAGAGGGTGTGAAGCAGTCCACCCGCAGAGCTCCTGTGTGTGTTGAATTCCACACTTCCAATTCGAAGAATTTAAAAAAAAAATGTTAATTTTTGACAAAATTAAAAAAATGTTGAGTAATTTTACAAAAAGCAGATTTGATTAGGATATGTAGAAGTATATTTCGTGCATACATATAGACAATAATGCAATAAAAGACAAAATATTTATATTATTTTCAAATATCCTCCCTTCTTTCAGTCATAATAAATAACTATAATGGACTTGTATAAAATTAGAGCGTTAAAAGTTTTTGTAACATCATATATTATCTAAGCTGAACCTGCATAATTGCTTTCATGATCAAACAAAATTATTTTCAAATATGTATTACATATAGATTTAGCTAAATTTTTAAATACTTTAACACACGCAACAACCCAAGGAACACATAAGAAAAAGTCGAAATGATGTACTTTGATGTTAATATGATACCGTGATTACAAAATTTAACTGTTTATCGGTTTTAAATCCAGATAGAGTCATTTTGATTTTTTGTTGATTTTTGTGTATTCTTTGAGAAAACCATTTTTTCCATGTATTGTATAATGTGGATGGACATTCAACAGTGTATCGTTTGATTCTGGTTTCCGCTGCGATAATAGTTCCATTTGCAAAAATTCATACGAAATCTCTTATAATTTATACGAAGTCGTAGAAATTCCGAGAATGTCATTCACACCTGTGCTTTATCAAAACGAGCTAATAACAAAGACGCTCATTACACAGCCAAATCGTATTGGTCTAAATTCTCCAATTTCGATATCTATCTTTATCTCGTTTTTATTGCTACAAGTGGCAAAAATAACCTTGACATAGTAATTGTTATAAAATTTATTTCCGTATTTTTACTCGATTATTTTTCGATCCATTATCTTTCAGAGTTCATTAAATGTCAGTAGCTGCCGCAAACTGCCTGTTATTAACAACAGACTATGAATTTATGAAAAGGTACTTCTTAAATGTTATTTTAAAAGTAATATTAATTATTATTAGATATATATTTGTTCGGAATTAATATTCATGTTTCTTTTATACACATCGATTTAATGCAATGTATTATGATATATTCTAAAATTTACGTCACCCGAGATTGCTAGTAGTACAACAAAACGTAATTAATATTGATAATATTCAAGTCAATCGTCCTTGTAATTAATGTATAAGATCCTTTTAATTAATATATGTACAAAGAGATTACAGCAACTCTTCAATATTTATATATAAAATACATTTCTTTGTCTCAATTCTTTCTCATCAGATTTGTTATTAATTGTTTCAGCAGGCGAATTGTTATTTCTTGGCGGATTTTAACTTCCATGACCAGCTTTCTGTTAACATAAATACTTTATTATCATTTAATCAATAAAATGAATAAATAAAATCTTTTATAGGAAATTGTTTTATTATTTTATAAAACCTTATTTTTTTTTACCATTTAATTCTGATCCTTGTAAGTGCGGACAATCACATAAAATTGAAAGTATATCATTTTAATCAAAATAAAAAAATTTATATTCATTTAAAATATATAAACGCATATATTTATATCACCATATACATATACATTATAGAGATATAACGTTTTATTATTTAATAAGTTTTTATTTGTTAACTCTGCATTTTTACATTTTCTGCACATAAACTTACGCTTTGGACAAACAAAAAGGACGATAACAAAATTTATAAAGTATTAAAAACTAAAAGCAAAATAAAGCTTATAACTAATGATATAATTATTACTAATACAGTTATGTTCTCAACCTTCTTCAAAAATCATTTTTGGAAAGCAATTTTCAAGAATGTAAAATTTTTTGTGAAATTTATGTTTATTTCATTTACAATATAATATAATATATAATTTTATATTTTCGGCTAAGACATGGTAAGCTGTCAAAAATTATAAACGGGCCACAAATTGCACATTAATGCTCTAATTAATAATCTAATTAATAATATGACCAACTAAAAAAAAAGAAAGGATTATAATATGATTGCTAACATAGGAACAAATATATTTTTCATTAGTGAACTCATAAAAAGTGTTGTACTTTCATATTACATACAAAAACATTAAATTATGTAAATTAAAATATCAGTTCCTTAATATTTATGTTTGTATAAAATAAATTGAGGAATTGGAGACACAATAACGGTGTAAATTAAATCTTTTTTTATTATACATGTTACATCTCAGTATTATAAATAACCTAAGATAAAATTTACACATCTTGATTTTTTATATTACTATATATATTTCATTTATTGAAACTTTATAATATGCTAACACTTCTCAAAAAACTTTATATTTTCGTTGTATCCAATTCCTCAATTTTTATTTATTTTTTATTTTTATTATATTGTTATGCCCACGCCTGCTATGCCTGAGCCACATCGACACCCGTCATATCTCGAGGGGCTCAGCGCTCATTTTGAAAATATGCCTGTTATATTTTGGAGATTAGGATCGTCTCCATGCTCAAACGTGCTTTCCAACCGCTAGACTATTTTTACCACTTGTTCTGTATTCGTTTTAATAAATAGTTCTCGTTTAATATCACATACGTGTTGTTTATTTCCGCGGCTTGGAGCATATGCGTTCGCGATTCTGAACAGTGGTTTCAAAGGCGCGTAACAATATAATATTTATTTCTGTACTGTTTATTTATCTGTATTTTGTACTTCCATTTTTATAATCACGTACGGTTGCACATAACAGAATAAGACTTAGCAATCGCGCTGACGCAAAATACTGCCTTAATTAATTATGTATATTAAAAATCAATTTGTAAATTATATGTAACATAAATGCTATTAATGATATATAATACTAAAAAAACGTTTTAGAACAGAATATGTAATTAACAAATGTTTTCAATAATAATGCAAAGTTGTCATAGAAACTGTCCACCAATCCTATTGTATAATCCAACCTGAAAAAGAATAATTTTCAAATGTTGATATATATATATGATTAAATCAAAATGTATACCTTCAAAAAATATATAATATATGCTATAGTATTAAAATATCTTGTTCCTTAACATATTCATGGTTCAGAATATAAATACATATTTTGTATATAGTTAAATATTACGTTATTCAAATTGTATACAGTATAATCAATCTAGAATTAAATTGCATTTGCATTATATATATTCCGAAATATATATACACGTCTAAAAAATAATATATACAATCTTTTACATATTTAAAATTATAACTTCTAGTATACAGTATTCATATTTTAAACCATATATTTTCTAGATATATAAGTACCAATGCATTTTGAATATCTTCATGAGGACCCTTGCTTTTAGGTGGTAACTTTGGTAAAAGCGCATCCACATTTATATCAACATGAGGATCTTTTTCTTTAATCTGCTTCATAGTTTCTTTACATACTTTGATTACTCCCTCAGCATTCAGGCGACGATCATCGCTCCACAGTGGGCAACTATGTTTAAAGAAAATGTAAGATAATTTTGATTCAGTTAAACAATAACATTAATAAATAAAAATTAAAACTCACAGATTTGAACGTTCTGCTCCTTGACCTTGGAAGTGCTTATAATCGGTAACTGGTTTATCACAAATGTAACACATTTGGGCGCCACAGATACAAGTCATTTTGTTACAGCCTTCTTCTTTGAAAAACATTCGACTACAACGGTAGCATTTACGTACCAGAGCTTGAGTCATCTTCTCTTCCAAATATAAACGTGCAGATTCTGCCTTCTTTTCGTTGCATTTCAAAGGTATATGATTAAGTTCCTTGCATAATCTAATACCAAAACAATTTATTAATGTGACAATTTTAGTAATAGATAATCACGCGTTAATTTCTAAATATTTTGTTCAAAAAGATCAATATTTCAAAATGCAGTACATGATATAAAATAACTAATATAGAGAAACAGGGCAATGAGCCAATAAATTAAGTTAAAAATATTTTTTAATTATATTCGCAAATTCTCGCAAGTGCTTTAATACGCGTATATCTCTTTATATAGAATCTCAATAGAATAACTCTTGCAGGCGTATAAGGTTTTTTAACTTAATTTATTGGCTCATTGTCAATAATAAGATTACACCTACCGGCAAGATTCTTTCATACATTCCGGATTAAGACATTTGAAAATCTTATCTTCAGCTGGTGGTATAGATGCAAAATGACAAAACGGACACGATACTAAACCATCGACTCCAGCAGCTATTATCTCCGCTTCTTGTCGTTTACAAAGTAGAATACTAAATTTAGTCGGCGGTAACACTTGTTGAAGTACAGATAAAGGAAATTCACAACCACACTGCAATAAGCAATCAACGCGCGTATTGCCATCTGCTAATACCACATCTGTGCTCCGTATAATGCATGAATTGCAAAACACATGACCATCCTCACATGTGGAACACTTTGATGGCATACATTCGTCATCATAACAACAATGACATTCAAGTAATCCATTTTTTGCCTAAAAAAGAAATTTAATAACGATTATACCTAAATTATAGTTTTGTGATTAACTATTTTAAAGCACTTCATACTTTAAGTTCATTAAATTCTTGCTGTTCTGTTGCTTTCACATCATCTAGATATTTTCTAAGCTCTGTTTTATGTTGTATAAAAGCACACTCTTGAAGAAATGGTATATCCTCTGTTAGAGTCATCTTGTTACAATATCGTTTAGTTTTCATATCAGGGTTTAACACTTCCAGAGCTTTTGCAGTTAAACTTAAATTATTCATATACTGACTATATGATTTCACCAATGTGTTTACCTGCAAAAAAAGATGACATGTATCATTACATGTATCATTATTGTAATATATTTACTATATATTATTTAATATTAGATAGCTTAAGGATAATACAATATCGTTAAGCAAAAGATTTAAAGTTATAGTCTGCTACTTCACATATAAAAAATTGAAGTAGAAAAATGATTTCATTACGATAAGGCTAATCAAAATAATAAATATAAATAAATCCGAAGTATAATTTAGTAACGTATCAAACTGTTTTGCAAAGAATGAAAATCAATAATACAATCAAAACTTTAAACTATAATGCTGTGATTCAACACCGTCAAAAATCCATCAAAAAAATTATATTATGAATTTAAAAAATATCTTAGTTGTGTTTTAAATTAAGCATACCCTTAATTTGCTGAAGTAATATTTGAGAAAATCTACTGCATGCGGATTAAATTCACATTTCCTCTTATCATCTTCGAAATAAGCAAATGGATCTGGAAATATCTCTAAGAATTGTTTCACTTGGAAATCCGTAGTGTACTGCTTTTGTTGTTGAGTAATTTTCTTTTTAGCCAGATATTGCGTTCGCGTTGGATAGTCGGGGTTTTCTAATTTCGACTGAACAAATTCTTTTATCTGTTCGGGATTATTATATATTTCCTCAGCTATTTTTCTTAAATATACAGGATCTGCTTCAGGAAATATCATCAGTAAATCCGCGTATTGTTCGTTCATATCATAAGATTTTGAAGTTGTCGCCTGTGGTTCTACTCGTGGCTTCACTTCAACCAGATGTTTTTGATCAGAGTTGAGCAGTATCTCAACTAAATTAGCAATTACTGTTACTTCATCTCTTCCATCATCTTTTACATAATCATAGCATAATTTCTTAATAAAAGTAGGTTTTATAGTTGGAAACATAGTTATTAATTTGACATATATTTTAAGAGCTTTTGAGTTTAGCACTATTTCCTTTTGTTCGGCATCGTTCGCTACTTCTTTTGGCTTGTCTTTGTATGTATATATTTTTAATTTTTTATTTCCCATTGCATCTGTTGTTTCCAATTGCTCTACTTTCCAATTAATTTTATTTGCATCATTAACTTCAATGGGTGTTCTCTGAGTTATCGATGAATGCTGCTAAAAAGAAAATAATTAATATTTATCTTTGTTCTTATCTCTATATCTTATCATTAATATAATAAAATAAAACTAATAGTTTTTTACTGGCAAGGCTAGTGCGCACTCAGTGTACATTAAAGTCGTCATACACTACTCTAATCTGATGTTAAAGTGAGATATCTCAATTGATAAAATGCCTATTGTGTATTTTGTCAAATAACATAATAAAATATATTGAAGATTTTATAGTTTTTTTTACTAATTTTTTTATTTTTATTAAACATATATTTCTATGTCGATTTGTGTACAACGGCATTAAAGTACACTGAGTGTGCACTAGCTCTACCAGTGAAAAACGCTATAAGACTATAGCTGTTTACTTAAATAAATAAAATGAGTAAAATATAAAGAAATATTACAAGTTTGAAAAAGCTTATAAAACAAGACTTGTAAAAAGAATTCATGAAAGTGAAAGTAAAAGTAAATTCAAAATTTAATACCTTCTTAATCATTATAATACCTCCTGCCTTTTATAATTTTAATTTTTCAAATATAAAATTGAAACTACGTGAGACCATCGATTAAAATTAATGCATATGTAACAAAATTTTTACAAAAACTTTTATGAAAATCAATGGTAAACACAATCACAGTCTGCATCTTCCTGATTTTCAGCCAGAGATTCAGTCTTTTTGAAGAATCTCCAGCTCTCTGGCAGAGAGAAAAAATTTTCTACTAACTACTTTGATGATCTTTTTAAAAGCACAAGAATAGTAGTAACAATTCAGAGCCTGAATTGTTACTACTATTCTTTATTAATTTCTACTTTTCTACTTTCAGCCAGAAGAGCTATTGAGCTCTGCCAGAACATTACTCGGAAGGTGATAACTGCGAAAACGGCAAGTAAAGACTAGATAAGAATGAGAAAAAAATCATAACATAAGAAAGTAAATATTATCCTTATAAGCACTTGTGGCTGAATAGTATGTCTGAAAATGTAACAGTATATGTATATATATATATATATATATATATATATATATAGAAAGTGTCTTTCTGTGTCTCTATAGAATTAAAAAAATCTCAATACACGTCTTTGTCTCTTAAAAATACAACGAAAATAAAATGCACGTGTAATATAACTGATTTCTAACAAAAAGTAAATTTAACCTGTACAAAATGTATTGAAGGTTTTTTACAGTATTTTAGATGCAGTTACAGTAGGATACACGTTTTTACCTGTATGCTTCCTTTATCGTAAACCTGGGATGTAGTCATATTGTTTGTTTTTTGGTCGTGTGAGGTACTTGGAACGGTAGCTATTGAAGACGATGAAGCATTTAATGTCGCAGGTACTAGTACCTGTGTCGTTTGGACGTTAACTACTTTAATGCCGTCTTCTTTTGTAACTTTTGATGCTTGTGGTTCTATTATTTTTATTTGATTAACCGTTTGGTGTATCGAGTTTGGCTCGAGAGGCGCACCACGCCTCTCAGATGCTCTTTTGTTATTTGATAACATGTCTAGTAACATACAATTCGATGCAAGTAGACTTGGATTTAGAGACCATGGATGAGACACACGATGAACGATCGGTTCATTCTGCTTTATTGTATTAGGACTGCTGATTAACTTTTGGGTACACGGATTCGTGTATATGGAGGAAATATTGGGGCTTGGAGAAATTATTGGTTCAGTCTGCGTTATATTAGGTTCTAACCTTTTAAGTCTATTACGCATTATAACAGGTTTATATTTAGATACATCTGTTGGTGATACTGTATTTTTAGCAAGAACTTTTAATTTTGGTGGTGATACTGTAGATACTGTATTTTTAGCAAGAACTTTTAATTTTGGTGGTGATAAAACAGGAGTTGTCGATTTAAGACATTTTTCATCTTTTTGTATCGTGAAATTACTTTGAAATGTGAATTTTGGCGGCATTACAACTGTACGAACTTTATAACGTTCCGAATATTTATCATCAGATTTACAAGTCTTTGGAACTTCCAAATTCTCAATCAAATGCAATTCCTTAGTCTCTGAACTGACTTCTGGTGATGTGGATATCTTCGAATTTGGAACAATCATGTTAATATTGCTACTATCTTCAACGGTTGTGACAGATTCATCTGATTTATGATCCAACTTTGTTTTTTTCAACGGTGTCATGTTTTGATCGGTTGTATTATTTATTGAAGTTGCTACTTCTGATACATTCTTCACCATTTCATTATTCTCATCTGTTGATGATGCAAATGCTACATCTGATTTTTTGTTATCAGCAATTACCTCATTTTTTACACAAGTCTGTTCTTTCTTTTCTAAAGCTGTATTTGCATCTACCTGATTTTTTTGTAGAGAAATATGGTATTTCTTTTTATGTTCTATAAAACTTATCTCATCTGAAAATTTTGGTCTCTTTAAATATTGTGGCAGCGGTCTTTCCTCTGGTAATAAATCCCATAATGTAAGCTCAATACGATTTCTTGCAAATTGATTATTATTAAGTATTCTAAGAATCAAACGATAATTATATCTAGGTAGAAGAGCATGTATTAGTTTTGCATCTTTTAGTAATTCATCCGTATTGGAGTAACTACAGAAATCATCCATCTCAAGGAATGTATCTCCAGAATCTTTACTGCATCCTGGTCTTGGATTATCTGATCGTTTTTTCTTTATATGTAAATCATTATTTTCCTCAACATCTTCTTTAGGCCCATCTTGGATCTCATTATTTATAACTTGTCTATCACTGCCAGTGATTAGAGCTTTAATTTGGTTGGCCAATAATGTATTATCATTATCAGTTAGCTGAAAAGTGGAACATGAAGATATAAATATAGGTTCATCAGCATTCTCAGTTTTATTTATAGCATTGATAATTGAAATATCATCATAAGAATCATCAGAATTCTCAAAAGAATTCTCAAAATTCTTAAAACAATCAACAGAAGAATCTGTATCAGAACCAGATGAGACATCAATTACTTCATTATTTACGTGTTTCTTGGAAAAATTCAGTGTTTTAGGTTGTTCAAAAACTTTGTCAACACTATGTAGCATCTCTGGTTGGTATTTCATAGAGGTGGATGGTCTTGGTGATGATGGTGAATCTATACTTGTGTCCATAGAAGTCAGCTCTTCAAGTTTATACGTTTTATCAGCATGATACATTTGGCATGATGACTGAATTTTCATGAGTGATTCCGGATCAATGGTATCACTTATTTCCGATTTTATGGTGGATGATCCTGGGTTATCAATTTCAGCATTTACACATTCCAGAAAATTTAATGTTCCAAATTGCTCAGAAACATTGTTAGTATTAACTGATATCTTTGATTGAATTTTTGAAGGACCTTGTTTTGAATTAAATATTTCGTCCACGTTTACACATTCTTTGAGAGATTTTAGTATTTTAGGTTGTTCAGATTCTTTATCAGCATCATGGTTTATTTCTGACTGAATTTTCATAGTAAATGGATTATTTGGAAGGTCCTGGATATTATCCCTTTCTTTATCCAAAATCATATCTACCATGGAATTAAAGATATCCATCGTGTTTTATAAAATATTCCGTTTTCTTCTATTCTTCTAACAATGAACGTTGCTAGCTTTACATCAGTAGATTATCAAAAACATCTCTATTCATAATTTCGCGGTTTCCTGTAAGATCAAAGAATAAACATAAAATTGAAGTTGTTTTAGAAATAATTTTCTTATAAAATATCTTACAAATTATAGAGAATAAATATATCTAGTAATAGTATAAAAATCCGACTTTACAAACACGTGCGATAAAGCTAACGAGACGCAAATTGACAGAAAGATAATAAGATGATAAAATAATGTGAAGGTTACTTAACAGTTTGTTGACGTTTGTGTCTGCGACTGAAACAGATTTACAGCACTTCAACACTTTAGATGCAAAAGTGACTAATTTCAGGACGTATATTATGACGAATGCAGACGAATGGACTGACGGACTGACGGAACTACTACTTTCCAATGCAAATGGAAAGTCGAATTTTAGATATTCTTTCTTATTCTAAAACCTCTAGAACTCTCTGATTCAAAAGATATTCTGATTTGTTTAGTGCGTATCAGTGCGTATAGAGAAGACTGCAACTACAAAAGCTCTCTCTGGTTAAAAGAAAGAGAAACTAGAACACATTTGAACATTTTAGCCCGGATTGGCCCGGATCCTCAGGCTGGAGTCACATTGAGCGGAAATCTACAGCGGAACGGAACAGCGAGACCAATCACAATCGCAGAAAGTAATGCAGCGGAATGATTGTACAGTTCTGATTGGTTTCACTATTCCGTTCCGCTGTAATTTCTGCTCAATGTGACTCCAGCCTTAAGAAGCCTACAGACCAGAGCGGCGCAGCGATGAAGCGGCGAGCGATAGCCAATGAGAGCCATGCTGCAAAAGCATGGCTCTCATTGGCTATCGCTCGCCGCTTCATCGCTGCGCCGCTCTAGAATGCTTTAAGGTTGATTTATACTGGCCGTAAACTGTTAACTTATGCCGTAATCTGTAAAAATTGACCAATCACAGTCGAATGAGAGGGGAATAATCGATTATAATTGGTCAATTTTTACAGATTACAGCATAAGTTAACAGATTACGGCCAGTATAATCCAACCTTTACACTAGCGGCACTTAGGTCGGTATTTATAGTCGGTTCTTATTTCAAGACTGTCTTAAGTAATGTCTTAAAAAAGATGCTAAAGCGACCCTCTGATTGATTCGTAACTCCTCAAGACTGAACTTAAGACGGTCTTGAATATAAGAACTAACTATGAATACCGGCCTTAAGGTTGGATTATACTGGCCGTAATCTGTTAACTTATGCTGTAATCTATAAAAATTGACCAATTATAATCGATTATTCCCCTCTCATTCGACTGTGATTGGTCAATTTTTACAGATTACGGCATAAGTTAATAGTTTACGGCCAGTATAAATCAACCTTTAGAGTCCTAGATATCAGAGAAGCGCAACCAGGAAGTAAGTGAGCGCAACCATCGACATATAGAATGGACCGCTGATGGCAATGGTGGGGGTAGAAAAATGGATAAAGTGAGAGGTAGAAGTAACATGATCGTTCTTTCTCTGTTTACTGAAGCCTGATTGGTTGTTGAATTAACAGCGACCAATAGTAATCAGTAGTTATCAGTAAACAGAGAAAATTAAAAATGGCTGACTAATAGACGATTGGTGGATTTTATTTTCGTCTGCAAACGACGATTTTTAATACTTTTCTCAGTAATTTTGCCATACTGACTTAAGCCGGTTGCGCTTCTCTGATATCTAGGACTCTAGCGGCACTAACGTCCATTTTCGAGCTGCGGGTACTACGTCTCGCTGTCTCGCTTGCTCTCGTGGTACGTAGTTCCCGCAGCTCGAAAATGGACGTTGGTGCCGCTAGTCTAAAGCATTACAGGAAAAAGGCCGCCATGGCCGCTCTCAGGTTTCTCTCTGGTATTACATTATTACAGAGTTATATATGTATATATATATATATATATATATACATATATCCCAGCATCCGAGAATGGATTAAAATGGATTGGACATTTTGTCTATTCGAATTCATATTTTACAGCGAAAACTTTTTTTTGGATTCAATTAGATTCAATTGGATGCAACTGGATTGCAAAACTGCGTTTCCTATTCAAAATTTCGAATTGTGCAGTATCCACTATGGTCACAAACACACTGAAAAAGCTGATATTATTTTTTGATTGAAAGGTATACAGATATGCTCCATGCAATTCCTATAAATGAATAAAAACGTATTCGGATTGAAAAGAATTCATTTTAACATTCATGAATCCGTATTTCTGAAAATCTGAATCCATTTTAATCCATTTCAATCCATTCTCAGATACTGGTATAAAAAGAAAAAATTAAATTTCATTTTCTCCGTGTTTAAAATAGTGGACAAGTAAATCTATGTAAAAATACGTTTTCACATATTTTTAAAATGTGAGGGAAAGCTTCTTCCTTTCTTCTCTTTAGTATCTTATCTCTACGTATTAAGAAATTATTCGGAATGAAGATTTCAATAGGAATTATATATTTTTATTTTCTTTAGCAAATACAATAGAAATCTAAAGCATAGTCGAGAAATTTCGATCGGAATCCATTCTAAATGGTTACACTCAGTACGATGACCGCTCACTGTGAGCTCAGTCGTACCTGAATGCACCTCTAATAATTTCCAACAATATCTAAATAATTCTTTTTATCGAATTCTGAGACTCACAAAAAGTTATGAATTAAGTCATAAATTAGAAGCTAGAAATGGGTCAATTATAGTTGTCCATTTTTATTTTCTGACTTTTGATTTATGACTTATATTAATGGCTGTTGTATGGCTATTGTAGAAGAGTAGAAGAGGCCCCTATTATATGGGTTTAACGAACCCAACTACATGAATTTTTCGAACTTAGGTCGGCGCAGGCGCCGCAGGCATGCAATGGAATAGTGGAAACTGACGCGCGCGCGGATTGGTCGAACGCGTGGAGGGGATAGTGGCTGTCCTCGCGATAGGTTATAAAGACGCAATCGGAATTCGCCAATCAGTGTTTGAGGAGTGTCGTAGAACTCGTAGAGATGCGGGAGAGAACGCGAGCGAGCCTGTTTCTGGACTGCGGAGTTTGTTGAGTGGGCTATTTGAGATCAGACTGGTCAAGCTGGAACGGGAAAGCGGAGAGGAAAACTGGCACACAACGATTACGACGACAAGGAAGAAAGAAAGAGCAACGAGAGCACGCGGAGTTACAAGCATACGGTGCGTCCCGAGACCGAACACGTAGCGGTGCGTCGTTTATATACAATACACGTCCCTCAGTCGGACCTCGCCCACGGCGAGAGGATTCGAGTTCCTGAGAATTGTGGAGACGTGCGGGGAAACGCAACGGCGCGAGACGAGTTCGGCCCAGGGTGATCCGATTTGATCTGGCAGTGCCGTAAAGGAGCCGCGAGAAGACAAATAAACAACGGCCCGAGAACCGCCATTTTGGATAGAGAGGAGTCGTTATTGTCGGGCCGGGGAGCTAGCGGAACGTAACGTACCGCTTTTCCGCATCAGAGAGTAGCTGGCCGCGTGAGGTGAAGGCGGAAGTCGAAGGAAGAAGGATATTGAGCTAAGGTGGCTAACGGTCACCGGATGTGGTCGAATCTGCGGGGAACGCGCACTGGGAGGACTGCGAGAGAAGAGGAACTTGAGGCGAGGTAGCATCGCGCTAACAGGTCCCCGGGGTGCCCCACCGCACTTATCCCACCGCGTCGTCACCGTCGTCGTCCCCACCACCGCTCTGCCCTGGATACTGTGATTATTGCGCAGTTGGAAAAATTGCTGAGCAGGGACGCGGGACGTCGTCCACGAGAGGCAACTCGTGAGCGTTTATCGGTAAGAGAGGCGCCTTTTTATTATTTCTTTTTTTTTTTTTTTTTGTCGAATTTATGTATCTCTAGAATTCTAGATGGTTCGAGATCGTTTGAAAATGTGCTTTCATTTTCGTTACTCTCCATGCGCATATCCTCTATCGGAGCGTAGAAAAAATAAAGTTTTCAACGATTGGTAGAGTCGATTGAATAGACAAAGAACAAGAACGGAGTAATCGCCGAGAGCTTATAAATCCTTTATCAAATTTGAGATGTATAATCTCTCTTCTATCTCTTTATATTTTATTCTAGGCGACGGTCTGCATAAAATGTCTGCAAATGTCTGTTAAAATTTTAAAACTTCAAAAAAGTTGATGCATATCTTTTATTTCTTCGTAAGAATATTACTTGTTAATAATGTATGAAACTTTAAGCCTTTTTGCTGGTTGTAAATGTAAGAGTAACTTTTATACATATTATAGAATATGAGAAAAACAGATTAAGTTACTATTTAGAATTATATTCAAAAGCATAAAAATAGTTAGATTTTTAGAAATTTTTCTTTTTTTAAATATTTTGTTTATATTTTTTAGTCTTAAAAAAATATATGAATTAATATAAATATAATATGCTTATTCTTGTCACTTCTTAATGAATTAAGAATTACATGATTTTTTTACCATATGTACAAACAATTCTACTTTCTGGAAAGGATATGCGACGGTGAAAGTATGGTAGAAAGTATACAATTGACTCTTGAGTGTCTGATGTATGTTTGTTGATGTGTATGAGACCAATTTGTATTAAAGCTAGAGTTTGTTTTTAGATGTTGCAAATATATGCTTTTAAGCATGCTAACATTCTATCGTTTTGTGAAGATATTTATAAATTATGATGCAATATAAAGATAGAATTTTAGTATAAACTTGATCCTACTATGTATATTTCAGTATTTAAATGAGTATCCATTTATTTTCTCCCATGATAAGATAAGAACTATCGAGAAACCTTGTATCTCTAACTTGTTATGTAAGCATAAATACTATAAATTTAAATATTGTATTATATAGTTCATTCACTTTATAGCTGCATGCTTTTTTGAACATGCTGCAATGTAGGAATAAATAATGTTTAATATTATTAGCGAATTATTTTATTTTATGTTGTGCAAAAAATAGTGAGCTGTATAAAATAACCAGTACTTATGTTAATGAGATTTTGTTTTTTTTATCTATAATATAAATTTCAGCAAAATTCATATAGCTGTGGCATTTTTTATGACTTCTAGCATTATGACTAAAGATAGAGTAGTTAATCAAATAACATTTTTAAAGAAAAAAACTTAATTTCTTGACAATTTTTTAAAGTATTCTTAACAATAAGTATTTAACTAGCTTTAACAGAGATAATGTTATTATCTTCCTTTTCAAACAAAGAAAGCAACATCCTTTTTTTAAATAAAACGATAACATTTTAGATGCAAATCAGTATCACGAAGTGAAAGTTAGAAATACATAAATACGTTCGTTTTGTTTTGCAGGCCAAAGAGTTGGCTGAGTGACGAGGAGATATTAGAAAATTGAAACAGAGAGATAGATAAACATCCGAGCCATGACGAACTCCGCGCCCAAGTTAGATAACGCCAAGGTGGATCGGCAGGCCTCACCGAAGGTCGGGTATCAGTACCAGCACAACCACCATCATAATCGTTCCAACAGTAAGTCGTCGCCGTTCCTGTATAAGAACGGCCGCCACACGGTTAAAAATGCTAAAGATGGACGGCAGAGCTGCAGTCCGTACAACTCATCGTCCAAGAGCGCGAGAAACTCGCCACAACATCAGCAGCAGCAGCAACATCAGCAGCAACAGCAGCAGCAGCAACAGCAGCAGACACCACAGCAACAACAACAACGTTGCGAGCAGCGCAGTCCGAGCAGCAGCCCGACCAACAACTTCTACGCGGGTGCCAAGTTCTCGGAAACACCGTCGCCCGCGAGCGTGCCCAAGCCGCCAAGTCATTGGACGAGCAGAATGATGGATAGCTGTCGCCAATCGGACAGCGCAAGCGAACACACGAGACAATTGCGTATAGTGCTAAACGTCCAGGCCTGATACCCAAAAACCAACGTATACACCAGCAACGCGCGAGAGGTGAAGCAGCGACCGTCGGTAGCTCCAAAAGAATCAGGTACGATAGGGAATTATCGTCGATAAAATCATCGGCTGAAAAGACTGCGAGAGTAAGGGAGACGATGATAACGACGATGATGGTGACACCGTGTGCGGTCCATATACACACGGGTTTTCGATTTTATCGCGCGAGTGGATACTCGTAATCCGTTCTTTACTCTAAGGTACATCCAGCATATAAACATTCGAATCGTATAAACTATGCACCGCGGGGGGGGAGGGTTAACGACGCGATGCATCGGTGCATTCCGATGCCGCGATCGATGTGTGCGCGTGAGAGATACATTATATATATGTATATATATGCGTCTGGAACTCCCATCACGCGCCATCATTGTGACAAAATGTAAGTAATATTGTATTTTAGATTATCGTATACCGCTAAACTTACAAAAAGGAACACAAGGAGAGCCCTACGTACATACATATATATATTATCTATATAACATCCGACACACACACACACACACACGCACATACACACACATGACACACAGAAAGAAAGAGTACATCCTCAGTCTGACGAGACGACAAGCGCGGACGAGCGAAGTTAACGCTTCGCGATTTTTTTGTCAAACGATGGACTTCAATATCGACGCGTTGAAAGGAAAAAAGAGAACAAGCGTCCGATGACTTTTCGTGTGACCGCTTTTTCCGAAGCGACTTTTGAAAGCTCGCGCTTTATGCCGTTCTCGAGACACCCGGTGTTCGAATACGCGTTTTTATTATCCCCTCATGCTTTAATCGTCGACACTAGAGACAAAGATTCGTAGCACGGAAATGCTGGATAAGCAATTTATTTGATAGCCGCCCGACTAATGGTCGTTATCAGTATACTTCTTTATTAGCAGTCTCTTTCGCAAGCTTTATTATTTTGGTAGTATGGATTGTAAAAAGACATGGCTTCGTATAAGAGATTTATTTCAGGTAGCTTTTTTTTTTTTAATTTTCGTTTACTTTTCTTTTTCATTTTTTTTGTTGGGAATATTTTTATTTTCTTGCTATTCTGCTACTCTGCCAATCGTTACACTTTATGTGAGATAGGTGTATAAGGTTTTGAGTTTCTTACTGCGTGTTAGTGAATTGAACGTGACCGACGTAACAAGAAGGAAGGGGAGAAATTTGAATGAGAGGCGAGGATCGAACGAATGCTTTGTTCGCTTTGCGAATACATTATGATGCTTATCATAACGTATTTACGGAAAATTCACATTTCAACCACTCTTGCTCTCGATTTTCGGCATGTTTCAACAACATCACTAATAAATTGCATGTAATGTAAATTTAAGATTTATTTTTACAATAACACGAAGATAGAGAAAAAAACAATGAAAATTTGACAGGTTTTTCCGTTACAAACGGAGTGATCACTAATTTATAATCTTACTTTGATTCATAATGTTTCAATCTGCTATCGTTGAGCGATAACTATTGTTATATTTGAAAAATTCAAGTACTAATTATGCTTTATTTAGACGCGGATATCGAGGACGATGACTTTTAAAAGGGGAAAGAACATTAGCGTCGTGACTGTCATGATTTAACACCGGATTGTTCCTTCTTAGAACGCAATCGTAGCCGTAAAAGACAGGATTACTACATTTAAAGGGCAGTACGCGGTTGTGTCCCTCTAATGAGGGACCGAGATTGATAAGTGGATTAAAAGCAGGAACAGCAGTTAACGGACGTTAACTTTACCCGTCCTTGAAGAGTTGTCTTTCGTGAGCTTCTGATCGTTTTTTGTGCTGACAGGTATAGGAAGAAGGGTAGTCTGAACTTTTTCATTGTTTACAATGCTTTACGGGCGCAATTGTCATATCAAACTCGCACCACGCTTCTATCTATATACTGAACTTGGTAAACTGAACTTGAACTTAATATATAATATGCTAACGATAATAATAATATTTACGGATAAATAAATAATGGTAGTAATAAGCTAAGGCCTTAATGATAATAGCTTGGAGATTGATACAATCGATTTGACGTTGCACAATCAAATCGATAGTGTGGTTTCATCAGTTTAGATTTAGATTTGCAAACTTTAAAATTTATGTTATTTTTGTTAATCCTTTTCTTTTTCTTATTTTGTAAGCAAAATTATTTCAAGCCACGGACTGAGCAAAATTCTTTGACGTAGTATTTTAATTAATGTTTAATTTTTTTTTTTTTTTAAGTTTCTTGATAACATGCAAATAATCCTTTTGCAACATTTATGTCCACCTATTTTTTGTTCTTACGTCAAATTGCTTTCTTCGGTAGGCGATTAGTCTTAGATAAGAATAAGTTTACGAGACGAGTGTGAATGTGGAACGAGCATGAATGAAAAACGCAAAATCGACGGAGACCAATATCAAAACGCGCGATTCCGATTTTTTCGATTGCTCGCTCTGTATTTAGTTTTCTAAGGTGAAAAATCCTAGTACGATATCTAACACGTGGCCATGCGTTGATATAACAATCGGTCAATTTGATCTACACATGACGTCGAAAATTGTCAAAGGTAGATATGGTTCTACACGGATAGATGGACAACGGATGTTTGTCAGATGTAAATTCGAACGCGCGCGGGACGTTCCCTTTCTTTTTTCTCCATCCTTCTCAACCTCGTGCGCGACCGGGCTCACGAGAGAGGAAATCTATAATCCCGAGATTAACATGCGGAGAGAGTTTGGCAACTCGTTTTCCGTTCGCCCTCGCAGTTCGATCTATATGCGCAAGAATCGTCACAGCACAGTTTTTTTTTTCCATTTTTTATAGAATCGATATACGCGCTTTCACATTCGAAATTTAATTTGCTCGCCGTTCGCGGCGATAATGAATCCGTGCACGTGTCTTAACACGAGAATCGATGAAGGAGAACGAAATGATTGCATTGGAATTTAATTTTACGTGACGGTACAAAGAGCTGAAACGATTAAATTGTAGAGTGCAAATTTGTTTTGCATTACATTGCCTTTCCTTTTATTTTTCGATTCTTGTTTCTTATCCTTCCGTGGGTTTGGCAACAACATACGAAACGATACCGAATAACGTCTTGGGGACCAAGATGTCACTCCAGTATTGTTTCACGTGTTGTTGACAAGCTTGCGATTGTATCCTAAAACCGTCTTTTGAAAACGTTAGCTTAATGTGTTAGAATATGGACTTTTAAGGAAGCGGTTTTGGAGTAATGTTAGAGTTCATGACATTTCAATTGATGCATATATATATATGGTATATAAAATGTGTATATACTACACAATTTGAATTGAACGAAAATTTGATGGACTAATTATTGAAACTGTCAAGCTGAAGCTTGTTAATTTAATACGTAAATTTTCAATAGGATTGGATCGATCTAATATCCTAATATATATCTACGTATGCTCTTATCTGCACAGCTTGCGACTTGATTTGCGACGGATAAATCAGCTCCTTGTACAGAATCGTATGGAATCGCCTATACAACGTTATTTGTATATTTTTTGCATTGCTTTTCAACGAAGCATATTGCATTATTTTAAACGCCGTATATAAAATTTGTGCTATTTTTTTTTAAAGCATTTATTTTTTATATATGTTGATTCTTGCTTTTCGTAGACACTTTTTTAAAACGATTCTCGCGAATAATAGCGATTGTACGAGCAAGTTGTTTCTATGAACGATTTTGAAAAGGCGTAACAATATCTCGAGGTATTGTAATCTGTTCGATCGTAACAGGCTTTCTACAATAAGCTGTCACCTAAACTTTAAAGGCAAGAGCAGAGTCTTGCATAACGCATAATGTATAATACAAGAAAATGAATCAAAGTCCTTTATTTCTTTTCCATAAAATAAAAGACTGATTCATCGATTCTTTTATGTTTTATGCCAAAGTCTATGTTCCTTAAGCCTCTTATAAGTTTTAAAAAATGAAATGATCATAGTAGATTATTCCTTCGACTGTGACTTGTCAATTTCTTAAGATTAAAAGCTTAAATAATGGCTTATTGCAGAATGTTCGTTAAGAGTCATAGAACCACTCACGATAGCTAAGTCAACGCGCGATTAGAAGGGGAGATCTTGACGGATTCAGGATCGGATATATCAAGGTCACAGAATTCGCGGTAGATCTTTAGAGTTAGAAGGAAATGAATTAAACACTGCCGTTCGGTAAAAACGGCGTATTTGTTCGAAAAGAGCGCTATTTAGTAACTAAATTCACTAAAACTACTGATAGTCGTCCTTGAGTTAGAGGGGGAAGCGTTTTACTGACAGGCCTGGCTTATGTATTCGGAAACGGTTTGAGTGGCTTTCTCTAAAGTTTAACGCATCTTCGATGCAACGATCGTCGTGCGTGGCGACATACTTGCCACCACAAGTATATCAAACTAACTTTTAGGCGAAAAAAATTTAAAAAAAAAAATGAGTTCCGAAATTTCGTACATATTTTAGTTAAACATGTTAAAATTGCACCACAAATAACATTAATATTCGAAGTGTCGGTTAATGCAAATTACTACAATAATAATACGCCGCGTTGCCCTATTCTCCCTTAATAAGCACCAAACTCGATTTTTTCTTATCAATTTTTATAGCGCGAACATACAACCGATAAAAAAGAATATACAAAAGATGAGAAAGAGAGAGAAAATAAGAAAATGAGGAAATGGAGATGGAAAAAGGCCATGAACGCTAGAAAATCAATCATTTAACAAAGAGTCGGGAAATTAGCTGTGATGATGACTCAATAGTATTAACTTTGATTGATAACTAATTAATATAAAGTATATATATCTATATACGTATATACATTGAGAAACCATTTAATTGAATGAAACAATTCGATTAAATCGACTAAATCTTTTGTTTGGATATGGGCAAACAAATCCTTTGAGTGTTACAACAAAATATAATAATTGCCACCGCTATTAATACTACTACGAAATTTTGTTGAAACA